AGCTACAATTTGGTATTAAAAATCTCAGGGTTTTTTGCAAAAAGACGTAAGATGTGCAGTGACCAGCACCGGGGCTGGTGTCAGATGGGGTGATTCTGTGTATCCCAGTTCCCTCACTTAATCACTTAGTAGTTACTGTGTAATACACAATCTAACCAGTTATGGTAATCTCTGCCCTGTTTCCCCCCACCCCTGCAATAGGCAAGTAACTATGTTCCAGTGACAATGTGTACAATACAAAGATAATTTTTTTTGTATTTTTTTAAGGTTTATCTATTTATTTTTGAGACAGACAGGGTAAGCGGGGGGGGGGGGGGACGGGGGGAGGAGAGAGAGAGAGAGAGAGAGAGAGAGAGAGAGAGAGAGAGAGAGAATCTCAAGCAGGCTCTGCACTGCCAGCACAGAGCCCAATGCGGAGCTCAAACCCACAAAACTGTGAGATCATGACCTGAGCCAAAACCAGGAGTCGGACGCTTAACCGACTCAGTCACCCAGGCACCCCAAGTACAAAGATTATTAGTAAAGCTTTCTGAAAGTAAAAGTCCTTAGGAAAAGCAAGAAAAGTCCTTAGGAAAAGTCAAATCCATTTTTCAAAAGAAGTTGGGTACAAATTAGACAGAAGTATTAGGATAATCATCTCACTGTTCGACAACAACAAAACAAACAGCAGTCATCGGAATTAGGCTCTTTATTCATGTTCTTTGTTTCAGAGTCCTGGTAGTTTCTATGGTACAGAGGGCACTTCTGGCACTTGGTATCACGGAGCCAAGACATGCTCAGACCACACTGAACCAGAGCACCCCCCTCTGACAGGCAGTTACAGACACTCCAATCAGGGACAGAAGGGAAATACCACTGAAATGACAACCCCAAGTCAAGGCTTAGCTTCAGTCTTAGGCTGTCATCCTGGGACATCCGGGATGACCTGGAAGCAAGCCAGAATAGAGAAGACTAATTTAGTGAGTGCTCAGCAAGTTTAGAACACTATCCAATCTACAGGGGATACAGTATGCTTCTCCCTATGGGGGAGCTTGCCCTGGCCTTGTCTCTTAGCTCCAGAAGGCCAAGGATCTTTGACTCATTTATTCGTTCAGTGAAACTTTTACTGCTGTCTGTTCTGTGCCAGGCTCTGTGACAGGCCCCGTGCCGGGTGCAGAGGACAGAGAGAAGAATCGGACACAGTCCTTACCTTCAGGGAATTCAGAATATAATAGAAAAAGCACATATTTATAAAGCAACCATTGTGATTCAAGGTAAAAAGGACAGAGGGAGGATTCATAGAGACTTGGCCCTCAAGGAATTCAGAGCTTCGCAGAGGCCTACAGGGCACAACAACAGAAATACATGGCAAGCTGTGGTGATGACCAAAGGGAGGCTTCCACTGTGCACTCTGGCAGCACAGGAGAGGATGGCATGACATCTACTGACTAATGCAGTGGGGAAAACTCACAGCCTACTGAAGAAGCCTGAGCAGCCTAATTTGGCTGAAATGGAAGCACTGAATCCTACTACCCTGGAGAGGAGGCTGCGCAGCCTTAGGCTGACCTCTATGGGTCCCTCGGGCTACCCAACAGACAGGGTGCCATGTCTCTGATCTGTGGCTGCAGTTGCATGATATCCCATGGATACGAGGGGGGGATTGGTGACCAGGAGAAACAGGTCCAAATATAGCATCCAAATAATGAGGGCCTGAAGTACATAATAGTGGCCTAGGAGTGAGGGCATCCGGAGTTGGGGAGCATGAGCAGCACCAGCAGGTTGAAGGGATCGGAAGATGATCTGGGTACAGATCAGCAGCAGGAGGTCCCTACCTATGCTTTCCTGCACTCCCAGACATGGGCCATGTGTGCTGGATGGATCCATTCTAAGGGTCCCAAGACAGGGGGGGAACATCTACAGGCAAAGGACCACAGCCTCTCTAGTCCTCTCTTCACACTTCTAGCTTAGAGGCCTCCAGTCTGCTGTCCTCTTTCCTTCACAGCTGCCATCACCTGCCCAATATTTTTCATTCTACCAACCTGAAAGGGCTAGAAATGGGCTTAGTTAGGATACCAGTATCATGGCATTGGACCCAGGGCCCCGAAGGCTTGGGTAATTGGCACAGAGTTGGAGTGCCTCCAGCTGTTTTTGTTAGTCACGTGGAACATGGACAAGTTGAGCCAGCTTAAAGTTACAGGGCTGGGCAGGAACTTATCTGTAGCCTAAACTGTGGGCCCATGCAGGCCTCCTTCCCTTTCCATACGTGTTGGAAACAGCTCCAGCCTGTTATCATTTCTTCTTCACAGAGGCCTCCACCTACACCATCTCTCCAGCCTCTGTCTCTATCTGTGCCACATTCTCTCTTCCTTAAGGTGCCAGGACTCCTCCCCTGCTGCTCTTTTGCTTCAGAGCCACCACTGCCCACTCTGTTCCTCTCCCTAATCCTCATTCTGGATTACTTCTGTAATTGGATTACAAATGTCGGATTACTCAACCCTCTTTTCTTGCTATTCCTGAAATATACACACAGGCCCTTTGCCTATGAGGAGTTTCACTGCTAATCACTAAGGAGAAGCAAACATGAAGCAAAGGGGAAGGAGAAAGGGAAGGGCAATTCAGAGATGGAGAAGACATCCAATGAGTGCTGGTACTGGACGGCTGTGGTCCACACTGGCATGTGACTGAGGTCCCTCCTTGGATGGTTCCAAAGAAGTCTTGATATTTTCATTTTCTCCATCCCTTAGACCTTGTTGGAGAACGGAGCCACCCCCCTGTTCCCATCTATTTGGGGATGGTGTTCAGGAAAGCTTTGCAGAACAGGAAGTTTCTACTACTACTCAGGAGAGGGTTGCCCTTCCCCAGCTCCTCCCTATACCAGCAGCTCTGTCACCCCCTCCACTGCCATCTCGACAGAGGTCTTCTCTGACAGTGGGATTCATATGAAGGAGAGATAAGTATTCATTACCCCACCCAACAACTGGCAGCCCTACATGCCAGACAAAATGTAGACACCCTTTAGCAGGCGATGAAGAGCCACAAATAATTTTCAACCAGGAAATGTCAATAGGAAGCACCTTACATTATGCAAGGCTCTCAAGAATATTTAGGTAAATGTACAAATGAGTGAATGAATGATCATAACTGTGTGCTGGGAGAATAACTTTGACAAATGGCTGAGAGGCTAAGGGAATTTTAAGAAGTCACTCTAAGCCATGGACTTAAGCCATATGCAGGAGTAGGTGAAGTTAATCTCTGCTTTCATCCTGCACGACTCTTCCCCATAGGACTGGGGCAACCGCCAACCCCTAGCCTCCTAGGCTATGCTCCAAGACTAACACTTGCTCTCTGGGCCATTACTCAGCACCAAATATAGTTCTCTGATACAAGGTATTTTTCTCCTAAAATAGGGAGGAAAACCAAGTATCTCATGATAGAATTTCTGTTACAATAATAGGCTATGGGGAAAGAATCTAAAATAAGAACAACCAATCTGGTATCATCTGAGAGACCCACCACTGGCAAAGTTTAGCCCCAAACCTATCAGACAAAGAGGCAGCCCTACTCCACAAACAGTATTTGTAGCAGGTCCAAAAAAACAGGCCTGATTCAGAGGTCTGAGGTCCAGAGACCTTCCTAATGGTCTTCCTAAAGACATCCTCCGTGGGTAAAGAAGTGGCTAGGCCAGAACAACATTCTGAGAAAAATGGGCCTGGGGGAAACCCAGAAGCCTGGTCAAGCCCTGGGACAGATGACTCCAAGCACAATGAAGATGCAACTAAGACAATGACATCAAGAGCTACCATCACCTCAACTTAAAGCCCAACATCTACAAACTAGCTGCCTTGATCTTCTTGAATTTTCTCCCACTTCTAGCCCCATAAACTGTGAGCTCCTTGAGGGCAGAGACCATGGGAAGTTCTGTCCAATGCTTTAAAGTCCTAATCCATGTCCTTTTCTCATCAGGAACCATCCTAGTAAATGAACTTCAGGTTCATCTTCCATAAAAGTAATGCCATCAGAAACAATATGTGCACCTGGGTGGCTCAGTTCGTTGAATAACTGACTTTGGCTCAGGTCATGATCTCACAGTTTGTGAGTTCGAGCCCCGCGTTGGCCTCTGTGCTGACAGCTCAGAGCCTGAAGCCTGCTTCAGATTCTGTGTCTCCCTCTCAATCTGCTCCTTCCCTGCTCATGCTCTGTGTGTGTGTGTGTGTGTGTGTGTGTGTGTGTGTGTGTGTCTCTCTCAATAATAAATAAATGTTAAAAAAAAAATTTAAAAAAATATGTGCCATTATCAAGGGCCACTGGCATTGAGCTTCTCATTTTCTCCTTAGGGAGTAAGCATTCCAGATAAGGAAGGAAGATTGAACACAGCTGCAAAGCTGGAGAAGGTAGGTGACCTCATGATCCTACTGTTTTGCCCAATTCCTCTAGGACGGAGAACCTATAGAGTTCTAAACATGATTAAAAGGGTGTGTGTGTGTGTGTTTGTTATTAAGAACAGAACAAAACATCCAGATCTTCCTTCATGCCAGAACACCTGCTTGTAGCCTCACACCTGGATGAGTGGTGAGTCATTGGAAATGATGAGCCCTCTGACTTCCCTTTTGAGATCAGAGTCTGCTACGGAGCCAGAATTTGCTGATCATGGAGCATGCAGACACTCTGTCTTTCCTAGAAATGAGAAGAAGAAAAATCCCAGAACCAATCCTCTCATTTTACAAATGGAGACCTGACGCCCAGAGAGTTCAGGTGATATGTTCAACATCCCTCAGCAAGACAGTTGGCACAACCAGGACCACATCATGGTTTCCCAACTCATAGTTCTTTCCACTGTAGTAGCTATGGAAAAATTTTCATTTTGCTCCCTGGAGGAGAAGGAAATAAGGTAGGGAGCACAATATTAAGTTTTTGGATTCTCTGTAGGCTTCAATAACTTCTGTTAACCTGGCCTCCATTATCCTGGCTGTGGTTGCCTTCTGTGGTTTCTTTCCATGGAAAATTGGGTCCTAAGTCAGTTTTTAGCTTTCAATTGGCTCAGGGTTCTTATCAGGGCTGGTGAAGTCCCCATGCACATGGCTCAGGATCTCTCGGTTTGTAAACAGGCGGAAGGCAATCTGCTCACACTCTCGCTTGGTCCCACATTCAAACAGACACCCAAACAAGCCCTCCTTTTCCAAAGCAGCCAAATCAGAGTAGCCACAGGGCCCGCAGTGCAAGATCCAGGGGTGGGACCAGCAGGCAGCATCCAAGGGGGTCTGATTGAGGTAGATGCCTAAGTTGACCCTCCGCTTCTTAGAGGTTGGGTGTGAGTACAAGAGCCATGATTCAGACAGTGTTCCAGCTTCTTGCTCTAGCCTCAGTGATCTGTCCAGTAGAGGGCTCTGCTGAATGGTAGAAGCATCTTTGCCATTAGGGTCCTGGCACCCACGTAAGATCTCCGGGGGCCGGAAACTCACCACACTGCCTTGGCAGCCATGCGGGGGCTCACAGAGCTGTCGGCTCAGGGCTAGTCTCTGAAAGCATTCACCACGGTCATCGCTGAAAGCCTCTGCCCGGCACCTGTTTGGTGTCCGGGCACTGCAATACAGCACGGGGTTGCCACCCCTCCCAGTCACCTCTGCCACTTCGCACTCCACTGTTGCCATGGGCTGAATGAGCCTGCCGTGGTGCCATGTGGCCCCTAGGTCATCACTGTAGATCATCAGGGAATGAGGCTTGGCTTTACATGGTAGCCGGAAGCAAAAGAACCAGTAAGGGATGTAGTAGGCATATGCAGGGATGACCAGCCTCCCCGACTGTAGCTGGATGCCATGACCTGGGCCCACAGCGAATGTGGCCCAACGCTTCACCTCTGCACCAATAACCTCTTCAGTCAAGTCCCTCACCTCGCTCCATGAACAGCCAGTGTCTCGACTGCAGATGAAGCAGAGGCGGGCTGCATTCCTGCCTGACATGACCTGCTGACGCTCGGTGACATGGCCTCGCACACAGATGAAGAATAGGTATACACAGCCGCTTTTCTGCTCCCACACAGGACAGGGGTTCATGGTCCGATGCCCAGGTAATGTGGCTTCCATCAGTGGCTTCAAAGGTCCCCACTAGACAAGGGGAAGGGGGAGAGAGCAGGAGTGAGAGACTAATAGGAATACATGAGGCTCATTAAAAGCATTAGTCTTTTTCAGTGATAAGAAAGAAATGATATTAAAATCTATGAAATCATGAAGGCTCAAGTATTCACTAAATTCTCAAACATTACAGGATGATTTATAAGGCTGGGAAGAGGCAATGCTAGATATTGTATAAGCTGTCCCCTCTGTCTAGAACACTTCCTCACTTTGTCTAGATGTCCAATTCACCCTCCAAACTCAAAAGTCCCCTCCTTTGTAAAGCTTTCTATGAACTTCCTCTGCTCCCCTCCTCTCACCAAAGCAACTGGTAGCTTCCTCTTTGTACACACAGAAGAGTTATAGAACTTATTATATAATAATCATCCTTTTTGTGTGACTGGCTCCCTTCCTAGATTATGAGTCTTTTGAGGAGTACCCAGCACATGATAGGAGCTAAACAAATATTTTTTAAAAGAAAGAAAAACCAAGAAAAGTAGAAGGAAGTAGGAAAAAAAAAGAAAAAGAAAAGAAATGAAGAAAAGTAAAGCAAAGTGGACAAATATGAAATTTAGGCAAATAAAGGGAAATTTAAAACAAAGAGTTTTTCCTTCCTCTACTATCCTGGGGAGGCAATTCATAACACTGGCATTAAAAACTCAAGCATGGAGTCAGAGATACCTAGTTCAAACCAGCCTTCATCACTCATTGTGTGACCTCAGGCAAGTTACTTGAACTTACTTTACCTCAAATTCTTTATCAATGAAGTGGAAAATGTAACAACATGCTCACACAGGAGTTGCTGTAAGGCTAAAATGAGATAATGCCTACTCAGACATATTACAAAGAAAGGTCTAATCTCCTTAATAGATTTTTTAAACTGTATTATAAATTGGTAAAAAAAAAAAAAAAATTCCAGAAACCCATCTGAAATGGGCAAAGAGGAAGACCAGACAACTCACAGAAAGAGGAAAAAACAACAAAAACATGTGCAACCTCACACATAAAACAGAAAAGCAAATTAAAATTAAAATTGATGTAGTACCTTTCATCTAACAAACTGGCAACGGCATAAACTTTGACAATATTCTGTTGGCAAAAATGTGAAGAAACAGGTACTCTCTTATATGGACCAAAGTGTAAAATGCTTCAACATTTATGTAGGGCATATCAAAATTCCAGATGCATTCATCCTTTCCCAGCATGCCTAATTCTGGGAATTTATCCTAAGGTATATCTGCTCATCAAATTAAGTATATACAAGATTACTCACTGTGGCATTGCTTGGAAAAGCAAAATATCATGAACCCAAATATTCATCAACAAGGGACTGGTTACATGAACACACAATGCAAGAGATGAAAAAAGAAAAAGGAAGACCTCTATACCTTGAGATGGAAAGATCTCCCTAACATATTGTTAAATGAACAAAGCAAAGTACAGACCAGTGCATGCAGCATGCTACTTTTTGCATCAGAAATATGGAGGAAAAGGACTTCCTGTAACAGCGAACTAGGTAATTTGAACCAACATTTCCATTGAGACTGGAGATGACAGATAAAATATTAAGACAAAAACATCTGGCTAAAAGCATCAGGGAGGAAACAAGACAATGAGGAATTATAGGCCAAGAACTGAGAGAAGTTCATTCAGAGAGGTTGGCCTGGTATTTCAAGTCCTTTTTCCTCTCAGGGTATCTCTGCTAATTCTCAAAGAGATAACTGAAAAGCTGAGAAGCTGAACAATTTGTTTGACAGCCTTATGGGGCTAGAAGGACAAAAATTTGGGGCCCTGGTAACCCCCCGTGCTTTAAGATGGAACTTTAAAGAGCTAAATGCAGAGCAAGGGTGAAACTGAAGTAGACTAGCCTTCACAACCACCACTCTAGAAAACTGGCTGGCATTATCTCCTGAAGGGGAACATAAACATACCCTATGATCCAGTAATGACATTTCTAGGCATAAGTCCAGCAAAAATGCATGCACGTATTAGCAAAAACATGTACAAGAATATTCAGAGAAGCCTGTACACAACAGTTCAGATAAACCTCAAAAATACTGAACAAAAGAAGCCAAACATAAAGAATAAAGATTAAAAACAAGCAAAACTAAACTCCAGAGCTATAAATAAGGATAGTAATTATCTCTGGGAAAGAGAGGGGGGATAAGAGAAGGTTCTGAGGTACTGGTAGTATTCTATTTCTTGAGCTAAGTGATGAGTCCACAAGTGTTGGCTTTGTCAGTTCACAGAGCAGACATCCATGTTTTGTACATTTGACATTTATGTTATGTTTTCTACATATGTGTTACCACTCCACGTTATAAACATTTTAAAGAGGAGTATTGGGGCGCCTGGGAAATCTTGTCACACACTACAACACAAATGAACTTTCAGGACATTATGCTCAGTGAAATAAGCCAATCACAAAAAAAACACACCTACTGTATGATTCCACTTACACGAGGTATCCAAAGTATCTAAAAACTCATAAAAACAAGGAAGAATGGTGGTAGCTAGCAGATGGGGCAGGGGGAAATGAGGGTTGTCCAAAGAGTATAAAGCAGCAGTCTCGATGAAAACGTTGCAGAGATTTGTTGCACCACAATGTGCCTATAGTTAACAAAACTGCAATGTACACTTAAAATGGTTAAGATGGAAAATTTAGGTATATCCTACTACGATTAAAAATTTTTAAATGTTTATTTATTTTTGAGAGGGAGAGAGACAGAGTGTGAGCGGAGGACGGGCAGAGAGAGAAAGGGAGACACAGAATCTGACACAAGTTCCAGGCTCCTAGCTGTCAGCACACAGCCCGATGCAGGGCTCGAACTCACAAACCATGAGGTCATGACCTGAGCCGAACTCGGACACTTAATGACTGAGCCACCCAGGAGCCTCTATCCTACTACAATTTAAAAAAATTTGGGGGGGGGGGGCACCTGGGTGGCTCAGTCGGTTGGGCATCCAACTTCGGCCCAGGTCATGATCTCGCGGTCCATGTTTAAATAAACATTAAAAATTTTTTAAATAAAAAATATATATAATGTATTTTTTTTAAACCAGCAAACGTGAAAAAGATTAAGAGGTTTTAGCTGATGGTCTACTTAACATTAGTCAACTGTATTATGCAGCTGCCAAAAAAACAAATGCTACTTTATGTATTAAAAGACTGCATTAAAAGGATAAAAAACAGGATAGCCACCTCATTGCTGAGCTGGTCAGTCTATCCTTGGAGCCCTAAATTCAAAGGACCATTCTTTGAAAAAGGACACTGACATTCCAAATCAAATCCCAAAGACAGTAATCACAGCTTTCAAGGGCCCAGAAACGAAATCAAGACTGTGGTCTTAAGAGCCACTAAAAGAATGAAGCTGGCAAGCACCCAAATCAAAAGACTCAGAATGTATGAATACTGCTTTCAGGTACATCAAAGAGCATTCTCTGGAAAAGGGACTTTCTATTATGTATAGATCGGATGTCCCAGAAGCTGGAACAAGACCAATGGGTAATTATAGAGAAGTACAGGTTGTCTCACTCCAAAAACAAAAGTTAACAGTTGCCACAGGATTAAGTTCCTCATCTGAGGAGTTGTGTAAGCAGATCCTTTATAGAAGATGACTAATGTTGAATTCCTACTATGCAATTGCTATTATTAATTACATTTTATAGATGATGAAACAGAGAAGAGTCAAACGTCCCAGGTCACATGGCCAATAAATGGTAGGTCTTGCCTGACTCCAAAGCCATGTTCTTAACCCCTAAGATATTAGTAGCTACCAAGGGAATACAGAAGATCTCTTTACTGGGAAAGAAGCTAGGCTGATGATTCTTCTAACTTCAAGATTCTACAGACAGATAAATCAGAGAATGGAACAGATAAAATACAGAGAAGGGAGAATGAGTTCAAGTGGACACATCTGTGAACGTTTCTGAGGTTACACAACAAGCATGGTCCGGTAAAAAGTGCTCAACAGCCTAACTGTTTGCAATAGAAAGCAGGGCAACACGACCGCAGGCAATGCCTGTCCTGGAGGGAATAAAAAACTAGAACTCCAAGGTAGGCTGCCCCGCTGGGCCTCTCTGGAGGCCAATGATACAAGCAGAGGTGTGGTCCTAGGAAGCAGCCATGAGGAAGGCTCATGACAAGATGGGTGAAAGAGCAGGGACTGAAAGTTCCCTAAAGTAAAAATCATTCCCACAAGGAGATGTGAGCAAGTCATCCAGAGCAGAGACAGGGGTTGCTGGCAAGGCCCACATTCAGCAGAAAAGCATTTGCGCTGTAATAGCAAAAAAAGAAAGAAGAAAAAAAAAAGTCATCCCTATAGAGGTAATGTTTTCATGGTGATATCTCCATGAGTAGAAAACCAGCAGGATTAGAGTGCCTATTATAAAGATATATATGTTTGTTTACAAAAGGCTCTCAAATCCATGGTCTCATCTGATCCTCACTTCAACCAGCTCTGCAAGAGAAAAGAAAAACGGGATCTGAAATAACCCTATACTCACAGGCCCAATGAAATAACCCTATACTCACAGGCCCAAAGGCAGCAATCATTCTTTGCTCTCGAAAAATGCAGTAAAAATGTGCTACTTAGGGGCAAGGGCTCCATCCCCACCTCTGCTGCTTAGTAGGTGTGTGTCTGAGGCAAACCACTTTTTTTTTTTTTTTAATTTTTTTTTTAACATTTATTTATTTTTGAGACAGGAAGAGACAGCTCATGAATGGGGGAGGGTCAGAGAGAGGGAGACACAGAATCTGAAACAGGCTCCAGGCTCTGAGCTGTCAGCACAGAGCCCGATGCGGGGCTCGAACTCATGGACCGTGAGATCATGACCTGAGCCGAAGTTGGCCGCTTAACCGACTGAGCCACCCAGGCGCCCCTGAGGCAAACCACTTTTAATCCCATTTCCTCCTTTACGATGGGGATAGTATGCACCTCACATAAACCATGCAGAAGGGGGAGGATTGTTGTTATCCTTGCCCCCACCATCTGCTAGTTGTCTTGAACAAGCTACCTATCTCTTGGAATACCAGGATCCCTGATCAGAAAACTGGACTAACGATGCTTCCTTCCTTCCCTGGATGACTTATAAGAACAAAAGAAAATGTGAATGAAAAACACACCACATGTTAGCTGAATTTGAATGAACCGTGGAGGCCTCTGGAATCAGAGATGGAATTTAAAGCCTGTTTCTGCTGTTTTATTACAGCTATGTGACTGTGAGCAAAGTGGCAACCTCTCTGAGCTTCAGTTTCCTCATCTGCAAAATGTGACTGACAACCGTGCCTATGTCACAACAGAGTGGTTATCGAGAATCTAATGTGCACCTAGCACACAGGAAGTACTCAGTAAGTGAGAGCCGTTGCTTTTACTGTTTCTTTTTTTCTTCCTCATCTCCCACGCAGGGTCCTTCCAGCACAGATGGGAAAGGGCACAGGCCCTGAAGTGCTCTAAGCAATGTGGAGAGAGATTGAGGCTGAGAGCCAGATCTGGGATGAGGAGTCACCTGTACCGAGTGCCCAGTCCTCAACCCTCGCCTCAGCACCAGGTGGAGAGCATCCTCATCCCTGCTCGTGGAGCGCTTCTCTGCAAAGGCCAGGAAGGTGTGGGTGGGGGGGATGTAGAGCAGGGCTGGGATCCGGTAGGTGATCCCTCTCTTGTCTTCCTGCTGGAACAGAGGGCTGCTGAAGGAGCACGATGTCACTTCTTCCATGACCTCTGCAAGGATAGGAGGCAGCTAAATGTGGGGCCATACCCAAATGCTGGCCTGTGCACAAGTTCTGCTCTATCATTCTATTTCTGAAGATCACACACAGGGAGGCACGGATGTACTCAAATGTTTACTTTTTTGTCCAAAGGTAACACCATGGTCTCAATAGCACAAAGCAAGCAATACGCATGCTCATTGAACAAATCTATCCTCCACACTCTGGGGAAATCCTATGCAGCCTGTGTCAAGTATGTCTTTACAGAGATTCTACATGGGCTGCTAACAAGCATCCAGGGGTATTACCAGCCTGGGTGGTTTCCCATGTCAAATGGAGATTTTAGGCCATTCAGATAATATAAATATAAATCCAAATCCATATGAGGAAAAGCCTGTGGTTAAGAACTCTCTGGGGAAACTTTCCCCCTCTATTAGAGCCTAGGATAAGAGGCAATCTTGGGGCGCCTGGGTGGCGCAGTCGGTTAAGCGTCCGACTTCAGCCAGGTCACGATCTCGCGGTCCGTGAGTTCGAGCCCCGCGTCGGGCTCTGGGCTGATGGCTCGGAGCCTGGAGCCTGTTTCCGATTCTGTGTCTCCCTCTCTCTCTGCCCCTCGCCCGTTCATGCTCTGTCTCTCTCTGTCCCAAAAATAAATAAACATTGAAAAAAAAAAATTAAAAAAAAAAAAAATAAAAAAAAAAAGAGGCAATCTTTATCATCTCTCTGTGTCAGCAAAAAGAATTCTTTTTACCTAGTCCACCATACCAGCAGGTGCAGACTTTCAAGGGACCTAGTTTCACGCAGCGATCTTAGTTCCGCTACACCATGTGGGCCCACAGTTTCATTCACTGCAACAGCAGGTCTACTAAAGCCCAAACTTCTAGGTAAGTGAGAGCAGCAAACATCCAGGGCAACTGAGGTCAGGTTACAGGGCTAACTAGTCTGGTTTTCAGTTTACTCTTGGCTTCTAGGTCCCTGGGGATTTCTCTTACTTTCTTGCAATTTCAGCTATAAAGGACTTTATTATATTTTGTCTACAATGTTACAGGTTAGCTAGCCTGTCATAATGCTGAAAATGTAAGTCTGCAGGTACACTTCTCAAAGAAATCAGGGGTTCTACTTCTCAGAGGCCCAAAAAGGGAATCAAGCCAGACAGAAGCAGGCTTAGAATTTTTTTATCTTTCACTATCTGTCATTCAAACCCTTTCATATAAATCACTTGTAAAAATTATCAGACTATAAAAATGAGGCCCAGAAGGCCTTATTCATTTATTTAGTAAATATTTCTGGGTGCCCACTCCAAGTCAGGCCAAAAGGTAGGTGCTGAGGCGACAAAAAGGAATCAGAAGTCCCTGCCCACATCCAAGTGAGGGAGACAGACATACAGGGACAATTACAGTATCATGCAATAAGTGCCACATTAGAGGTCAACATGATAGCGTGTAGGAAAACAGAAAAAGGATCTGTCTAGATCAGGGCAGTGGAGGGTTTCTGGAGAGAAAAAAACTGAGTCAAGTGAACTCCTGCCTCATATCCTTATGCTCTGTGCCTAGAACAGTCTTGTTTCACATAACCACAGAGTTCACTCCCTAAACTCCTTCAGCCCTGTTCCAATGTCATCTAATCTATGAGGTCTTTCCTGACAACTCCCCTGCCCCTCTCTATCCCCTCTCTGCTCTCTTCTCCATGCCACTTATCATCCAGATTATACTTGTTTAATATATACTACACAACAGAAGCTCCATAAAGGGCAGGGATGAGTCTGTTCTATTCACCGCTACACCATTATACCTAGAACCATGCCTGGTAATTGATAGGTACTTGACGAATTATCTGTTGAATGACTGAATGAATGAGTGAGCTGGATCTTAAAGGATGAATAGCGAGTCAGCCACTGAAGGGTGAAAAGGGCAGAGGGGGTGAATGTGAAAAGCCTACAAATGATAGAAAACAGTGAGCTGTGGGGACTGTTGATAGTGCAGCATGACTAGAACAGAGTGCAGAAGTGGGACTGAAGGGGTCAGCAGAATCCAGGTCCTGGGAGGCCTTGCTACCTTATTAGGGTGTTTATCCCACAGAGAGGGAGCCACTCAAGAGTTTTTGGCAGAGGAATGGCATGATCAAGTATGCATTTTAGATCAATCTCCCAGGTAGCCTGTGGGCAATAAACTGAAAGAAAAAGTTGCACTGCTTTTGGTCACAGGTACCTAGTGTCAATCAAGACAAACTTATCCAAAGGCATACCAATGATTCACTTGGTCACTTGTTTCTAACTTAAAGAAGAACCGTGACTCACTATCATGAGAGGAATGGGGAGTTAGCCTCCGGAGTCCAGAAGAAAAGCCTCCTCCCCTCACTCCCAATTCTGTGCTCTCAGTAGCAGAATTGAAAAGCAAGTGGGAATTGTCTTCTTCACAAAGTACTAGAGCACACCTCTCTCTCCTCAACTCAGGCTCTCCTGCCAGAGAAGGTCAGGCTCTCCTAAGTAAAGATCTGTCCTTGAGCCAAGCTGGCATGATGGTTAAGAACATAGGATTAGGACCCCACTAGGACTACCTGACTTTGGGCATGTTATTTAACTTTCCTAATGTTTCAGGATCCTCATATATAAAATTCAGTAGAGTTGTTGAGAGAATTAAGCTAAAAATTAAAGTGACTGTTACAGAGCCCATGCCATAGTATGAGCTCAATATATGGCAGTTATTTTTAGACTGTCAATCACTACATATTCTACAGTTGACTGTTGGACAACACAGGGATTAAGGGTGCTGACCCCAACTCTGGGGGGTATAAACTTTGTGTATCACTTTTTTTTTTTTTTATTTTTATTTTTATTTTTTTAAATTTTTTTTTTCAACGTTTATTTATTTTTGGGACAGAGAGAGACAGAGCATGAACGGGGGAGGGGCAGAGAGAGAGGGAGACACAGAATCGGAAACAGGCTCCAGGCTCTGAGCCATCAGCCCAGAGCCCGACGCGGGGCTCGAACTCACGGACCGCGAGATCGTGACCTGGCTGAAGTCGGACGCCAACCGACTGCGCCACCCAGGCGCCCCTGTGTATCACTTTTGACTCCCCTCAAAACTACGAATAGCCTACTGTTGACTGGAAGCCTTACCAATAACATAAATAATTAACACATATTTTGTATGTATAGATGTATTATATACTGTATTCTTACAATAATGTTAGAGAAAAGAAAATGTTAAGAAAATCACAAGTTATAGAAAACACATTTATAGTACTGTACTATATTTATTTAAAAAATGCTTCTTTAAGTGAAACTGCAATTCTAAGCTGTGTTGTTCAAGGATCAAGGGTAGTCTTATTCCTTGAAACCTGTGGATGGTGATGATGATGATGATGATGGTAACAGTTACAACTCTTTCTTAAAAGTATTTAAATCCGTCTACGCCTCTGGGAAAGATTGTATTTAAACTCTCATGCGCCCACACATTAATTACAAGTGAATACCACACTATTAATGATCAGTTAACACATGATTATTAGTTCACACCCATGAATTCCCTGGGTGATAACAATAAAGCAAAGAATAGGCATGGAGTGGGGAGGAGCAACTAGGAAAAAGGAGAGGGAGAGGTAGTGGGGACAGCACCAAAGCGGAAGCACAGCTTGTCATATGGGGCTCGATTCACATCCCATCTATACTTCTGTGTGACCTGGTGCTAGTCACTTAATCTCTCTAGGTCTTGGGACTCCTATGCTTGTAAAATGTAGATAATACCTATATAAGATGACCAATATGAAGAACTACTCAAAAGTGCTTTATAAACTTTAAAGCACTATATAAGTAAAAATATTAAAACTTTCGATGTCTTCACAATTTCACTTATGGCATTGATGACTCTGGCATTGAAACCCAAACTTTAACACAAACCATATACTGGGAACTAAGGATAGAGAAGGATTAGATACAGTTCTGCTTTGGTGTCGTTCATGTTAGCAGAGAACTCAAGCTATTAATTGCTACTCCATATAATCCTCCCTGCTCTCTTACTGAGAGAGAGTATAGTGTAGCCTGGACTTTGAAGTGTAATGTGCTTTGACACTTACTAGCAAGTCATTTTATCTCTGAGTCTCTTTTTTCTGACTTGTAATGAGGATAATGCCACCTATTTCTCAGCATAAAAGAACAACGTAATTCCAAAGACTCCAGTTAATTCAGTGCAGCAGGCAGCCATCAGTGAACCCCAGAAAGAGGCCTCCCTAACTCATTTATTTATTCTTAACAATTAATATTTAAAAAGCACCCATCCTTTGTCAGGCCTGTTGAGATCCAGCACTCCAAATCCCTCTCATTGTACACATGGGAAAACTCAGGCCCTCGGAGGGGAATAAGCTTATATTAGGCCACCTAAGTTAGTAGCAGCAAGCCTGGACCAAGATTCAGGTCTCCTATGTTGCAGCTCGGGACTCTCTACAACCCATACAACCCTTTCTGGTAAGGGCTGCCCCTGGCTTGGTTCCCTTTCATCTCTAAAATGGTAATTCTACGGTTTAGGTTTGGCTTCGTTGGAAGGAAAACAAAAATAGACTAGCCAAGAATACTCTCTGGCCATGTCTGAATTCCTGGCCCACTGGAGGGCTCTGACTCAATATTCCCCTCAGACTGGATTTCCTAAGCCCAGGCGGTGCCGCCGAGCCTGTCCCCACACTCAGAGTGCCCCACTTTTCGGGGATCTCGGCAATGTCGCAGTCCCGCTCACCTTCACGGGACCCCGGCTCCTCCATCTCTCTTGGAGCAGAGCTGGGCGCCGGGCAGCTCTCAGGTCTCGGACACCGAAGCGCGGGAGAATGAACCACGCAGGGGGAGAGAGAGAGAGACTGCGGAAGACACGGAAGCAACACGAAAACTGAAAAAAAAAAAAAAAAGGGCGACACGGCCACGGAGAGAAGGAAACACCGACAGACCCGGACGTCCAGACTACCCAGCCGGGAAGCAAAGGCTGGGACGCGCGAAGGCGGCAGCTGGCCGGCGGTTGGACCCGCAGTTGGCTGCTGCCCAGAGTCGGCCCCGCCCCCATGGGACGGGCGCAGGCGAGGCCCCGCCCCCTCGCTGCCCCGCCGCCACAGTCCTTTCTCTCCCGCGCCCCTAGCCCAGTCCCAGACACCGTGTGGACCTGCCCCTTGCTCTCCCCGACCACCACCAGCTCCAGCTTAGCCCCGAGATTGGCTTTGGCTCAGGCCCTGGGCCTACCTCTGCTCCCGTGGGCCGGGCAGCAACCTGGCTCCGCCCCCCACCCTTCCATTTCCTCCCCTTCATCCCTCCCCTCAGACCCCTTGCCCCACGCTCGTATCTATTGGTTGCCTGTCAGCTCATAGGTATCACCGCCTAAAATTTCCCCGAACAGCCTGGGAGTCCAGCAAAGGTTCCGGCCCGCAAGAAAGAACTCCACAAAAAGAACCAGAGATCCAGCGCATTAGACGAACCCTTCCCCCCTAAAAAAATTAAAATTATATGTTATTTTATACGTGTGTACATGATTATATGTTGACAAAATAATAGTATTATAATCCATTGAATAAAAACCCATGAGTTCATATTGACATAATTCTATAGAATTCCAATTAATAAATGTGGACTCTGCTCAGACGATTTGAACACAATATAGCTTATTCTGAACACCTGCTTTTCTTCTGAGTCTGGAATTTTGGTACATGCCAGGCAGAGGGTGCAGACATACCAGTCCCCAGATTCCCTAGGCAGAAACATGGTGCACATGCTGCATTTTCCTTGCTGGGGGAAAGTGTGCTTAGTGCAACCCCTCAGGAGAAGGAGAGAGCATACGAAATACACATGGATTCCTTCAGACTCCACTTGTGTCTTTTTCTCTTATGATTCAATGTGTCTTTACTACATTGCTGTAATAAAGTTGCTGTGAGTGCAACTATTAGGCTGAGTCCCATGAGTCCTTCTAGTGAGTCTATGAACCTAGGGGTGGTCTTGGGAACCCTTAACCAAATACCATATATAGTTTTAAAACTTGTAAAACAATACCATATAGTGTTGAAGAAAATGCATAGGAATAATAAATACTAAATTCAGGGGAGTAGTTACTTCTGAGAGTGCAGGGAGTAGGACATGATTAAGGATACCCAAGGGACTAATTTTTTAAGGTGGTTCATTTTATTATTCTGTAAACCTTATTATTTGTCTAAAACATTTGTTTTTAAAGATTGGCTCCCACAAAGTCCTAGGGCTCTTCACCCAGACTTCTCCAAACTCACAATCACCAATTCTGTAGATCAATCACCAAGTCAATTTTAGAAAAATATCTAAAGCTAATGCCAGATTTCTGTCAATTCTTTGACTGGTGGTCTTGGTCTTATGCCTGAGACAGTGAGTTGCAATCTCTATATTTGGAGGCGATAAGATCTTGGCTCAAATCCAGACTTCCCACTCCCTACCTCAGTGACCTTGGCAAGTTATTTAACTCCTGTGCCTCAGTTTTCTCATCTGTAAAATGGGCACTCTTGGCACTCATCCTCATTCATGGCTCAAATGAAACAAGTTTCACTTCCTGTAACCTCCTAGGCCTCCATGTTAAAATAGTTACTCCTCTTCCAACCATCACAGTACCTTACACATCACTTCTGATGAATTTTGTTTGCCACTCTATTGGCCACCCTGATTAATCTGACAGAAATGGGACTTAATCCATCCTAAAAGGATAGTATCAACAAAACTCCAAGCAACAGGATGAGACCAATCTACAAAACTGACCTTACCCATACCCAAGGGCCAGGGCTCAACTAGGTAGAAAAACAAACAACATAAAAAAACAAACAAACAAAAACAAAACAAGAAAACCAACCAACCATAAGCCATCAAGGTCTGCTTTAGAAAGCTGGGTGCCATTCTCTTATATCTGTATTGACCTTAAACCCAGCCTGAGGCATTAATCTGGCTACAGAGAATGTATTAGTGTTTGCAGACTCTACCTGGGCCCACAAGGAAGTCAAGGGCAATTCTATCATCCATAACCACATTGGCCAGTGAACTGAGGCTCACCCAAATGCCTTCCAGGGCTGAGGTGGTATCATTGTTGCCTTCAGCTAAAGTCAGGGATGAATTTCATATCAACATTTCAAACAGGATGACCCTCAAGATAGGATAACTTCTTGCAGAACGTGCATAAATAAATCAGCCAACCCTCCGGGAAGTTCCCCTATGTAACCAAAGGCAGCTTCATCTTGGAGGAATCTCTACAGTCATCTGAGGGCTACATGATCTAATGGTGGTTCTTCTTTAAACACTTGAAGGTTGCTTATGACCCTCCCTACGGAACAAGGCACGATGTTTTCAGGGAGGGGGCAAGTTAATGCCTGACTTCCACATAGAAGGTATAGTCCTGAGGTCATATGTGATACCCCTGTTTACAATTGTTGGGACCTCCTAACTGGGACCTATTATCAATTAGGGGACACAGGTTGACAGTGTCACTAATGAGGCCTCCTGATACCTGGTAGGCTTCAGAGTCCCCATCCACTTAAGTATGATTGAAACCAGGCCTTATTTTTGGAAAGACAGTCTGATGGCAGTTGGCCCAAACTGTCCCATATGTCCACACCAACAGTGAGGTGGACCCCATAAGGAAACAGCAATAGCTACAAGAATGGGGGTGACGGAGACATGTAGAGGTTGTGCATTTTACAGAGAGGAATAGGAGCTGCAAGTGCACCTGATGTTTCCGATAAGACTTCTCAGTAGGTTAAAGGGAATGACTATCAAATTGTGGTCAGAGCCATCTAGTGGGGGATGTCAAACCAAGTAGTCAGTCAAGTTTATGGAGTTTGCAACAGCTTGGTAGAATTGTACTAGGCCATTTTCCTTTCAGAGAAAGGCTCTAGAGGTGACTCTTTTTCCAAATGTCATGATCTAGGACCATGTCAAACCAACCAGAGAATCCAAGTGCCTGAAACAGAATTCAATGAGAACCAGAATTCAATGTGACTAGGCTGCCACCTGGAAGTTGTAGTAACAAGGTGGGCCTGGGGATGCTGTTAGGGCAAATATAACATCATGCCTAACAATGGTCAGGGCTGAAAACAGAATTTTTAGGATAAATCTACACAACACTCTCCAATCCCTCTCATTTTGATCATTACACCATAAGCAGCTATGAGAGTTAATTTTATGCATCGCTTTGACTGGGACACGGGGTCCCCAGATATTTGATTAAGCATTATTCTGGGTATGTCTGAGGATGTTCCTTGATCAGATTACCATTTGACTCAGTAGATCCAGTAAAGCAAACTGCCCTGTCAAAAATAGGTGGGTTTCATCCAATCTGTTGGAAACCTGAATAGGACAAAAGTTGGGGTAAAGGAGAATTCACTCTATCTGCCTGTCTTCAAGCCAGGAAATGAGCCTTTTTTTTCTGGAGAATCTTAATACTGCAGTAAAGACAAAGTGACCACTTTCTGGGGACAGCCACATTCAGTGGCCAAACTGCTTTACAAAGGTGTATTGACCAGGACAAGGTAAGTGAAGTAGTCAGAAATCTTGTGACTGTAGGCTGTTTTTTCAGTAGGCTGTCCCAACATTCAACAATAGTCGATACCTGTGGATGGAGGAGTGGAAAGTCAATCAAATACTTTGATTATCAGCCCTCTGCTGTTGAGTGGTTTTCACAATAAAGAGTCACCACTGTCAGAATGTATGTGGTCAAGGAAAACAAAATCATGAGACAGATTAGTTTCAAGATCAAAACAGGGTAGAGTTGGCTGATTGACTAGAACAGCAACACTGTAACCTGAAAAGGTATCCTGTTGAAGCACTATTGGTAACCTCAAGAGGGAACCAAAGGCCTGACAGAGTTAGTCAGCCAGAAGTGGATGGAGGTCATGCCTGGGCTATGTGGCTTCACTCATGGCTAGACTAACAGGACTTTTTTTTTCTTTTTTTAATGTTTATTTATTTTGACAGAGAGAGAGACAGAGCATGAGCAGGGGAGGGGCAGAGACAGAGACATAGAATCCTAAGCAGGCTCCAGGCTCTGAGCTGTCAGCACAGAGCCTGACGCGGGGCTTGAACTCAAAGACTGCGAGATCATGACCTGAGCTGAAGTCGAAGGCCCAACCGACTGAGCCACCCAGGTGCCCCTAGACTAACAGGACTTTTAACAGGAGTCACAAACCTGGCATGTAGTGGTAGCCTCTGCACCAGAAGCATAAAACTTTTACTCTGTGCCCAGGCTATGACGGTGCATGTAATGTCATATCTGGTATGATGATGGATACAGGCAATGATGGTGGCAATCTGAGTGGTTACAGGCTCCGTCAGCAATTTGATTCCAGTTGGTCTTCAGTGAATAAGCCCCCACTGTGAGCATCTACATGAGTGATCCAGACAGTTCAACTAATAGCTGCAATTCATTTTTAGTTTGTGGCCCCCAAGAGTGTCTTTAATCTGACAGTCTATGTCTGCCAAGTGATAGACCATAGCCCGAGTCAGTAAAAATATAACATGTTTGGTCTCTAAGGAATGCTTAGGACGAGGGTCATAGCCTTCAATTCAGCCCATTGTGCTGACCAGCCTTTACTGTAGTCAGTTTCCAGAAACATCACTTGACATCGACAGCTCTTAACTTAGCTGGACCATAAGTGAACCAGGCTCAGGCATCTGACTGGGAAAGTCTCTGTAATCAAGGGCCCTTTTGAGCCAGTGGCTTTGCTTCAGGCAGCTGAGTCTTGGAATACAGTCTTTCCAAAGGAGTGGGTATCACTTTTTCAAGTAAAACTAAGATGGGCAGCGGCTGCATCCCCAAAATGCATCATTTCCATTTGACTAGGGAAGGCTGCTGGGCTTTTTGTTAATTTCAAGTTTGAGTTCGTGTAACCCAAAGTGGGGATGTTAGGCCAGGTACCAGGCTTCTACAGGTTGGACGTCATTTCAACAATAGCTCAGTAGTAGCCTCCCAGCTGTCCAACTTTTTCAAAGGGTGTACTTGGTGCCTGCAAAGGATACGTGGCACTGCTATATTAGGAAATGGGCTGAATACTCCAGCAGTCACCAAGTTCTCACCTAACTAAAGCTGTTGATTTTCCTTTCTCACCTCTTAGGATTCTGTATTTTGTTATGCTACTCAAGAGGAAACAGGAATCACTTCTCTATAAGCAGTAGTCCCTGAATGGGAGACTTGCAAACTTTCACACTTCAATTTAATGTATAATTGCTGTCAATAACACATTACTGTGAAAGCCATACAACAGTAACACTGAGCCAGTGTAGAGGCTCCCCTACAGTTATTTAGTTTTCCTTTCCTACTACAGACTTTGCCCAAACCCTGCCAGGTGAAGTCAAGCACTCCCCCACTCCCCCCACCAACTACAGGGACTCAGACCAAGCAATCTGAGACCGATATTGCAAGGCACAGCCACAGCCACCAAGAAATCATGTTCCAACCCAAGAGTTCGAGGAAGTCACAGGAGTAGGAGAGGCTAGCCTGCAGGGGGCAGCTGGGTCAGCAGGAAGGTCTTTTCTCTGACTCCTGCTCTGGGGTCAGTGCTGCCTTTTCCCTAGTGTACCTCTTGGCTCTGAGGAGCACCTAGGGTTCAGGGGCTATTTTTTTGTTTGCCCACCTTGCATACTACCATGGATCTGCCCCACAGTCCTTGGTACTTCTGACCATTCCTGTGCCCAGGGCTCCCTGTGCCCATGGGACCAAGTAGGATGGTGACTTAGATGCTTATATTCAGTAGAGTTGTTAAAAGGGAGTCCCTCTCCTCCTCAAAGATCCCGAACATAAATAGCTTCTTTCCTTAAAACAAAGGGAGAAAAGGATCAGGGGTTATAGAGACTGGCCTTGTGTCAGTAAACAAGGTCATGTATTTACTTTCACTTCAAATGGCTACCTGCTTGGTCATAACAAACTCCTAATATATTTGGTCCATTCAAACTCTGTATCTTTATTGCCATTTATTTCACCTTCGGGAAACCCTCTACTCATCAGCCACAGCCATAGAGCCTTCAGCTGGGGCCACAGGCTTACTGCCTTGTTGTCAAAACATTCTTTCCTCCTCCTGTCCAGAAAAGAGTGAACAACAACCTAAGTACCATTTGGGCAATGTGTTTCAATCCTACCTCTTGCTGTTTTGCTTCAAAAATTTCATTAACAGGTGGGACAGTGAAGGACCCTTACCCACTTGCTCAGCAGTATTTCCTACCAGACCCCAGGTTATTTTCTCACATCCTCTCACCCGACCCATGTCCTTTCTCTTGTAGAAAGTCATGGCTACCTGTATCCTGTCCTTGTTACCCAAACTGTCAGAGTAGCCTATGAAAGGGCTACAATTTTATCCTACTTGCAACTAACAGGTTAGCCTACTATTTTATCATGGATACTGGTAGAAGACATGAGACTCCCAGATCAAACCCAAAGAACTTTTACACTTACAGGAAGCAACGTGAGCAGGTTTGTGCTAGTTCTTCAAGTCCCCCTCCCCAACAAAAGTGACTTGGGGTAGGTCTAGATAGATGGATGCCTACACATGCAGGGGGATGTGTCACAGGAAAAGAACCCTGAGCTTGGGAGATTCAACATTTTTATAGTGCAAAGTAGGGAAGAGACATTACTTCAATTCTCAAGATTGCTTACTGCCAGAACACGAAGATATGCCCCAGGAAGTGGTCAGGGTCTTACATTCACATGAAGTGAGAACATGCAGGGGTGCTCAGGGTTATGGTAGATTGCTTCTCCTAACAGTTCTTCATTCTCTAGTGGGTCCCCTTTAACAGCATTATAAGCCAAATCCAGGGAACTAAGAGCTTGAATACTACTCAATATTCATCAATGGTTTCCCATTGTCACAGGGTTTGACACAGGGAACTCTTCCCAAAGGGCCAAAGCTCCCTCACAGCAGTCAAGACCCCCTGCAAAAAGTTCCCAGTCCTTTACTGTGGTCTCTGAACAGATCTAAGCTTGGCCTGATAAATTGTAGGAGGGGTTTGGCTGTTAAGGCAACTCAACAGTTGCCATTCTTCCTTAATAGGCATTCTGTATCCGAATCCCTTCTCTCCCAAGCAAACTAGCTGAAGTTTAGAAAATTCACCTGGTTTCTGCCCACAGAAGGGATTTCCCTCTTTTCATGCTCCTGTAGGGGTGTGTCTGTAACTGCTGTCTGAAAGGAGGAACCTGCTGCCCACTCATGATGAATATTAGTGTCACTAGTTATAATAGGGTGGAGAGCCAAGGCTGCCAGATTAGTGAGGAAATCCATTAATGGTGGGATTCACCGACTGGAAAGTAAGCAACAACCAGGGCACCTTCTGAGCAACTACCTGCCTCTGAACCTACTTTCCCAGTACTCAGAGCTTGCAACCATCTTCTCCAACCCTATTTCTAACAGGGAATAATGTATTTAAATGTATTTATGGATTTCCGGAGAAGACAAGATAGCAGAACAGCATGAAAGTTTTTTTTGTGTCTCGTGTCCGTGAAATACAGCCAGATCAACACTAAACCATCTTGCACACCTAGAAAACTGATTTGAGGATGAACACAACAATCTGCGCAACATGAACCACAAAATTAAGCAGGTACACAGTGCGGACAGGTGAACTGGGGAGGAGAGAGGCCGCAAAGGGCAGGGAGCTGTTTTTGCTTGAGGACAGAGAAGATGAGGGGGGGGGGGCAGGGAGTATGAGAAAAGCACCCTCCCCCCAAAGCAGCTAGAGAGAAAGTGGAAAAGTGGAAACAGCCGCAGGGACTTAACTAAAAAAGGGAGAAAGGAGAGGGTTTAAATTCCATTAAGGCTCTATAAACAGGGGGAGCAGAGTCTGAAACTCCACAGCTCTATACCTGGTGGTGCTTTGGTGGGAAGGGCGAATCTCCAGGAGAATAGCGTCCGGGAGGTCCACGGGCCACACAGAGAGAAGCAGTTCCATTGCTGGAAGGACATTTGGTAGAGACTGTGTGGCCGGCTGGTCGCAGCAGACCCCAGAGAACACCCACATTCGCTGGTGCTGGAACAAGGTCGTTAAGGGTGAAACCTGGTACCAGATGTATGTTGTGATTTCCCATAATCCCTGAAACGCTGGTGCTATATGATCGTGTTAACTTTTTCTGGGGCAGGCTGGCACCCAGTTGCAGTCTCCGGGCATCGGAAGCAGCACAATCCTGCGAATATTCCTGGGTGTGGCCGGCACTGGCCATTGCTCGGTGAGACCCTCTCCCAAAGGATCTGAGCGGGTCAAAGCCACAGTCCCTCAGAATTGAGGGGTTAGGAAATACAGCCGCATCTGAGGTAAAACCCAGGAGAGGTGCCTCCTGGCAAACTGAAGGCTTGGTCACAGACAGTGTAAAAGCAGGGAGTGGACAGAAGCCGGAGACAAAGGACGGGTGTGCGATTGCTGGTTGGGGAGAGCACAGAGTTCCCGCACTTGAGACTGAATAGCTGGGCGATGCCATTTTCACTCCTCCCGCGCATGCGCATACCCACCTACAAGCACCATAACAATGCACCCAGTAAGGTAAGCAGTGCCATCTAGTAGAGAATGGAGCCGTTTAAACTAAGCCCCGCCCAACTGGGCCAACCTCACTTTTCAGGAACAACACAAATCTCGCCCCCTGCTTAGTTTATGGACTATAAAGTGCTTCATAGTTTGACCTGTAGGGGAAAACGATGTAGTTTCAATCGTATTTCAGTCTGTTCACTGGTACATCTATTCAAATTTTTTTTTCTTTTTCATGAATACAGAAAGAGAAATTATTTTTATTTTCAGTTTTTATTAAAAATATTCTTCCTTATTATTTTCTACTATATTTTTTACTTTTTTTTATATTTTTCAAATTCTATTTTACTTCCATCATTTCATTTCACGGTATTCATTTTCTCAAATTTTCAAATGTTTTTTCTTTTTTATCCCTTTTTTCCCCTAATCTATTAAACTCCTTTCAAGAACCAGACCACAACACACCTAGGATCTATATTATTTATTTGATTTTGTGTGTGTGTTGTTTTTAATTTTTTAATTTTTTTTTACCTTACCAATTCCTTTTCTTCAAAATGACTAAACGAAGGCATTCAATCCAAAAGAAAGAGCAGGAAGAAATGACAGCTAGGAACTTAATCAACACAGATACAAGCAAGATGTCTGAACCAGAATTTAGAATCATGATAATAAGAATACTAGCTGGGGTCAAAAACAGATTAGAATCCTTCTCTGCAGAGATAAAAGAAGTAAACGCTAGTCAGGATGAAATAAAAAATGCAATAACTGAGCTGCAATCTCGAATGGATGCCACAGCAGTAAGGATATGAGGCAGAGCAGTGAATCAGCATTATAGAGGACAAACTTAGGAAGAATGAAGCAGAAAAAAAGGGAGAGACTAAGACAAAAGACCACAATTTAAAAATTAATCAGTGACTCATTAAAAAGGAACAACATAAAAATCATAGGTGTCCCAGAAGATGAAGAAAGAGAAAAGGGGTAGAAGGGTTATATAAGCAAATCAGAGGCAAACTTTCCTAACCTGGGGAAAGACACAGACATCAAAACCCAGGAAGCACAGAGGACTCCCATTAGATTCAACAAAAACCGACCATCAACAAGGCATATCATAGTCAAGTTCACAAAAACACTCAGGCGAGGAAAGAATCATGAAAGCAGCAAGGGGAAAAAAGCCCTTAACCTACAAGGGAAGACAGATCAGGTTTGCAGCAGACCTATCCACAGAAACTTGGCAGGCCAGAAAGGAGTGGCAGGATATATTCAATGTGCTGAACTGGAAAAATATGCAGCCAAGAATTCTTTATCCAGCCAGCAAGGATGTTATTCAAAATAGAAGGAGAGATTAAAAGTTTCCCAAACAAAAATTAAAGAGGTTTATGACCACTAAACCAGCCCTGCAAGAAATTTTAAGGGGGACTCTCTGAGAGGAAAAAA